ACTTTATCTCGTTTCTGGACATGTGCAGATATGGTCATCTGCTTCTGTTTTTTGGGCATCTTCAGGGGTTATCTGTGGCCTTAATACTTAGATGGGTATGTATTTTGGTATTGCTTTCTGATTGCCTCCAGGTAGATGTGATCAGGAAGTGGGATTCCCTTTTCACTCTTCTTCTTGAGAAATTTCAAGATGCCACTTTGGTTGTTTTGACGTTACTTATGATTTCATTTTCGGCCTATTTCCTTTTTTGTCTGCTTGTCTGGCTCCTCAATCCCCGTTCAGGCCTTTTTTCTAGTTATAAACAGTTCAGGGCTGTCTGTAGCCATTTGGTTTTAAGTGGAAACTGTCTCTATAAATTATGAGGAGGCTGTGCACATGCGTAGTAGATCCTCCAAGGATGGGGCTGGGTGGTAGCCCAGCCACCCCTATAGTCACCAGAATGGAGGTGCGCAGGCAGCAAGGGACCGATGAACAGAAACCCAAAGAAAAGAATGTCCACTCCTTTATCTCCACGGTTCTGCCAGGTGTCTGTGGCTGCTCCAATCCTTTCCCCACTTGGTCTCACCCAAGTTGGCGGCTCCTGGAGCAGCTGAGCGTCCTGAGCTAGAAAGCAATGGATCTCTTGCTTCTGCCACAAATTCCCCCAGCTGTAAGCCTTCCAGCCTTCTAATTATTCCTTTATATGTGGTTCAGAGTTTTGGGACCATCCCCTGAGCCTGCTTGGTTCTGTATTCTGTGTTGTTGCTGGCAGAGCTTGATACTGCACATCTACCCAATCTGCCATCTTGTTTGTTCCTTTTCACACATTCTTTTAGTCTGGCCTTTTTTAGGATTTGGAGGTTCTATGTTTTGCTCCTGTTGTATCCAAGACTATCTATTGTGTCCCTGGTTAGAAGGGTTGGTAGTGGTAGCTGTTGTTGTTAAGTGCCGTTGAGTTGGTTCCAACACATAGCGAACCTGTATAGAGTTTCCAAGGAGCAGCTAGTGAGCTTGAATTGCTGACCTTGCAGTTCAAACCAACACACCACACCAGGTCTCCAGAGCACTATCTGACTCTTCTGTGATTCATTGGCGCTATGAGTCCTTAGGTGATTTTCTTCTTTGAGTTTTTCATTTCCTTTTTTTTTAAAATAAAAATGAATTTTTTGTGTGTTTTAGGTAAATACAGCAAGTTTTAAGTTACCATTTAGTAAATTTTATACCAATTGTTCCATGTCATTGGTTACAATTTTTACAGTGTGTCAACATTCTCATTGTTTGTTCTATTTCCATTAGCCTAGCTTTCCTTTCCATCCTTGCCTCCTCATGGAGTCCTGATGGAGCACTGCAGAGTAATGTGCTGGACTAGAAGGTTGGTTTGAACTGCAAGGTTGGCGGTTCAAGCTCACCAGCCACTCCTCGGAAACCCTATGCAGGGTTGCTATGGGTGAAAACTGACTCACTGGCACTTAGCAACAGCATTTGGTCTCATAGTTGACTGAAAGATGACCTCTAGAAATAGCTTTAATTTCAAATTCCAAGGGTATCTTAGGGCAATAATAACTGATACTCTGTGTCATTCTAGTAAGTCTGGACATTTTTACAAGTTTGAATTTCATTCTATTCAGGGCCTTCTATTGTGTCTGATCAGAATGGTTGCCAGTGGTGGCCATCTGGTTCTTCTGATCTCATGTTAGAAAGAGGCCATGGTTTGTATAGACTGTTAGTCCTGTGGAGTGGTTTCTTCTTTGAGCTATGATACCTTCATTCTTTTTCACTCCATAGGAGTAGAGATCAGTAGTTGTATCTTAGGTGGCCACCCACAAACTTTTAAGATCCCAGATGCTACTCACCAAACCAGGATATAGAATACTATCTTTATGAACTGTATTAGGCTAATTGACTGAGCTGTTCTGCAAGACTATATGGTCCTAAGCTTTCAACCCAGGCAACCAAACTCTCAAGGTGTTTGGTTATGTCTAGAAAGTCTCCATAACTGTGCCCCTTCGGTGCTTTATTATATATCTGAATATGTGTGCAGCGTACACAAGCATATATCTATTCATATGCCTACAGATCTGCCTTTATATGCACACACATGTATTCACTGTGCCTTCCTTTATGCATACATATCTACCTACATACGTAGAGTTTGAGGTTGTTAATTCTGTTGTTGCCTACGTAAGTCGTTTTAAATTACTGAGTGTTACGGTATTGTGATGATTTAGTCAGTCTCTGTTCTTGGACATTTTGGCTATTTTCATGTTTTCACTGAAATATATTAGTCATCTTTGCATATTTATTTCTTTTTTGGGACGCATTTTTACATATAACTTGATAGCTGACAGAGTTCACATTTTTAAGGCTTTTGATCTCAGTTGGCAAATTATAGTCCAAATAGGATATAAGGTTTCATATTCCTTGTAGTCTTAGACAAGTGCTGAATGGTGGCCATTTTGTCACATCATTACCTGTCAGATAAAGTGAAAAGTGGTATCTCCTTCTTTTAATTGGCATTAATTTCTCATGAAGTGGAACATTTTTCATGTTTACTGGCCATTGTAGGATTTGGTCTCCTAAGCAAGCAGCTCACAATTTTGATTGCAGACACCTCAGAAGCATTTTCCATTCATTGGTCAATCATTTTCAACAGTGTCTTATGTTTCCTTTCCAGGAGCGACTAAAATTGGTGACTGTTTTGGGTGCCGGCCTTCTCTGTGGAACTGCTCTGGCAGTCATCGTGCCTGAAGGAGTCCATGCACTTTATGAAGAGATTCTTGAGGGTGAGAAAGAGAGAGAGAGAAGGACAAGGGCCTTATGGTACTTTTGTTATTGACTTGGAAGGTTGGAAAGACAAGCTTAGTGGTAGTTTTCTTACTACAGTTCATGCTTGACATAGAATTCTGTCCTGGGAAGAATTCTAACATTTTTCACAGTGAACACATCCTTAGCAGTTTGAAAATGTCCCAATTCAGGAATACCACTTAGTATTTGTTAGTAATATAGCATAAATTACAGTCTTTTCATGTTTGACTGTCTTTTTTAATTATTATTTCAATGACTATGATCTTTCAGCAGTAGATGGCTAGGCCTTTCTTCTGAATTGCTTTTGGGTAGATTCAAACAGCCAAGCTTTCAGTTTGTAGCCAGCATGTAACTGATTGTACCACCCATAGACTCCCTAACAGTCCCCCTGAAATGCCCATTAGCAAGACTTCCCAAATCCTACATGTACTTTTAGTGTAATTAAAAAATATGTATTGATATACACATTTAGATTTAAGGATCCTTTATGGTAAATTTTGTAGATAAATGGTGTGGAGTGCTGGGGTAGACCAAAATAACAAAATCCGCTGCAGTCGAATTGATTCTGACTCAAATGACCCTGTAGAAAAGGGTAGAAGTACTTCATAAGGTTTCCTAGGCTGTATATCTTTAGAGAAGCAAACTGCCACATCTTTCTCTCATGGAGCAGCTGGCGGGTTCGGACCTTTGAGTTAGCAGCCCAACACTTAACCCATTGTGCCACTAGGGCTCCTTTAAAGGCTAATTTAAAAATTAAAGAGGCCTTTCCTGACCCTAATAATAAGCAGTGAATAACAGCTGAATAAAAAGAAATGCTGGGTGATAAGCTTAGTTCAGCTTCATTCTAATTGTATATTCTTTCATGGTATGGCCTTTATACCAGCTTGAAAGCATACTTGATTCAAGTTTGAGACTCAATAAAACCACATTATTGCACAAATGGAACTTCACAGTTACCTTATTGAAACTACAACTGTTCAGTTGGAAGTTGAATCTTCAAATACCAGCGTCTACTGGACTTTGAGGAGTCCTGCTGTGGCACTGCAGGATAATGCGCTGGACTGCAAGGTCAGGTTGAATCACAAGGTTGGCGGTTCAAATCCACCAGATGCTCCTTGGAAACCCTATACAGGATCACTATGGGTCAGAACTTACTTAGCATTTAACAACAACAACAACAATCACTGGACTTTGGAGTCCTGGTGTGGAGCTATAGGATAAGCACTGGACTGCAAGGTCGTTTGAATCATAAGGTCAGCAGTTCATCCGCTCCTCGGGAACCCCTATACAGGGTCACTATGAGTCGGAACCAACTCAACAGCACTTAACAACAACTGGACTTAAAGAATAGTATAAAGAGTTGGGATCAGTAGTTGGAAAATATGGCCTTGGTGATAGAAATGATGCTGGAAATTGCATGATACAATTCTGCAAAACCAATGATATGTTCATTTCAAATACCTTCTTTAGACAGCATAACAGATGACTATACACATGGACCTTGCCAGATGGGAATACATAGAATTCAATTTGACTACATCTGCGGAAAGAGATGATGAAAAAGCTCCATATCATCAGTGAAAACAAGGCCAGAGACAGACTATGGAACAGACCATCAATTACTCATATGCAAATTCAAACTGAAGCTGAAGAAAATGAAAACAAGTCCATGAGAGCCAAAATATGACCTTGAATATATCCCACCTGAATTTAGAGATCAGCTGAAGAACAGATTTGATACATAAACACTAAAGACCGAAGACCAGAAGAGTTGTGGGATGACATCAAGAACATCATACAGGAAGAAAGCAAAAAGTCATTGAGAAGACAAGAAAGAAGGAAAAGGTCAAAATCGATGTCAGAAGACACACTGAAACTTGCTGTCCTCCATAGAAATGCTAAAGCAAATGGAAGAAATGAGGAGGTCCAAAAGCTGAACAGAAAATTTCAAAGATCAGCTCGAGAAAATAAAGCTAAATATTACAGTAAAATGTGCAAAGATCTGGAGTCAGAAACCCAAAAAGGAAGAACACACTCAGCATTTCTCAAACTGGGGGAACTGAAGAAAAAGTTCCAGCTTCGACTTTTGTCATTGAAAGATTCTCTGGGCAAATTATTGAATGATGCACAAAGCATCAAGAGAAGATGGAAGGAATACACAGAGTCACTGTACCAAAAGGAAGTGGTTCGTGTTCAGCCATTTCAAGAGGTAGCATATGCTTAAGAGCCAATGATACTGAAGGAGGAAGTCCAAGGTGCCTTGAAGGAATTGGCAAAGAACAGGGCACCAGGAATTAATGGAATAAAAATTGAAATCTTTTAAGAAAGTGAGGCAGCACAGGAGGCACTCACTCATCTCTGCTAAGAAATTTGGAAGACAACTGTCTGGTGACTGATTGGAAGAGATCCATATTTGTGCCCATTCCAAAGAGAGGTGACCCAACAGAATGAGGAAATCATCAGACAATCTCTTTGATATCTCATGCGAGTAAAGTTTTGCTAAAGGTAATACAGAAACGGCTACAATCATACATTGACAGAGAATTTCCAGAGGTTCAAGCTGGATTCAGAAGAGGCCATGGAACGAGGGATATCATTGCTGATGTCCAATGGATCTTGGCTGAAAGCAGAGAATATCAGAAAGATGTTTACCTGTGTTTTATTGACTACACAAAGGCTTTCGATTGTGTGGATCATGTCAAGCTATGGACAACATTGTGAAGTATAAGTATTCAGGAACATTTAATTGTGCTCATGAGGAATTTGTACCTGGACCAAGAGGCAGTTGTTCACACAGAACATGGAAACACTGAATGCTTTAAAATTAAGAAAGGTATGTGACAAGGTTGTATTCTTTCACCATACTTATTCAACCTGTATGCTGAACAAATTATCTGAGAAGCTGGGTTCTGTGAAGAAAAATGTGGCATCAGGATTTTAGGAAGACTCATTAACAACCTGCGATACGTAGATAATACAACCTTGCTTGCTGAA